GATAATAGTGTCACCGTAAGAAACCACGAAACTCGTTACACGAACTGTTTTCTTAGATTGAAACTGCGTATTGTAGACATATTTTCTACGGAGGAGAGATATTAGAAATGGATCTCTAGGCGTTGGGAGGCACTTTTACCGCACATAGTGAACTCGGTGGGGTCTCCATGCTTTATCTTCGCACACAGATACAATGACCCGAGAACAGCACCCCATGAATTGGTGGGGGGTCTTGTCATGATCTCGTGTGTATGATCTTATACACGGAGAGAATTGTCACATTAATTGCATTTAATGGGAATTTGCCATGACTGTCTCATATATCAGCAAGTTTCAGGACGAACATGTTTGACAGCTGACCCCAGAACCCCCACAAATTCACTTTGTTATCACGAAGTTTCCTTTTTGTGAATCTTGTCCCCATCTTTGCAGATTCTTCGTTAATGATGTTAATTGTTTAATTGCTGTTCTCGTTTCCCATAAAATCCAGCTGGGTTGCATTTGTTTGTGCTCATCTTGGAATCTGGCATACTAGTGATTTGTTGATCTCTTTAATTAGAGATCTTTGTGTGATTAGTGATTCTTTAATCATCCTAAAACACAAAGATTAAGCCTGACGTTTTTCGCGCATTAATTTATGGCAGGTTGTTAGGGAGGTACAACACTCGAGGAATGGGGTCGTAGTGAAAACAGAGGATGGTTCCGTATACGAAGCTAATTATTTGATCGTGTCTGCTAGTATTGGAGTTCTCCAAAGCAATCTCATTTCCTTCAAGCCCTCTTTGCCCGTAAGTCTTTCTCTAACTTTATTTTATAAGATCATCAGAATCATAGCACTTTATGGTAATGCAAATATATTACACCTTTAATGCAATATCTTTAGCCTACTAAAACATAAAAAGATATAGGGGGTGACACTGTTTCTTGCACAAAAAAGGGGGATTCGTAATCATTCAATGTATCGGAATCTGTGGGAATATGGGGTCACTCGTATTAGTTTTTCATCTTGTTGTAGACCCTAAGGCCCACAATATTAAATTGCATTAGGTTTAGAAAGTCAGAATTAATGGTGCCTGTGTGTGGCATTTAATATTTGGAAGCTCATTAGTTAAATCACGACAGACATAGATTTTCGAGTTGTCTTTATATCAAACCACACACCAAATACAATGGGTTTTGCATGGGGATGATCCACAGAATTCAGTCCATAGTGGTGTGATTTGTTTAACCTTTCTTTGGCATCTTTACCACTTTCAAGGCAGGTTGAAAAAACATGATATTGTGTTGCCTATAGAAAACTATACAATGCAGACCTATGATTTTCCCAGTTTTACCTTTTGAGATATGGTCCAGCAATAGAAAAAGATATGATCTATCAAAACTTGCGTTGCAAGTATGCAAATCCCACCCATTATCAGTTCAGACCTGTTTTTGAATTCTCATTAGGTAGTTCATTAAGTATGAAACATTAAAGAGCTGGTAGTACTTGGTCTCGGAATAATTTGCAGTTCATGGACTTTTGACAATTCAGAACTTAATCTCTTATGCACTAACTTAGAATCCCGAAATCTCATGACAGAGATGGAAAACCGAAGCATTACACAAATGCGATGTGATCGTGTACACGAAGATCTTCCTCAAGTTTCCGTACTGTTTCTGGCCTTGTGGTCCGGGTAAAGAGTTCTTCATCTATGCACATGAACGACGAGGCTACTACACATTTTGGCAGGTTAGTTTCTATACATGTTCCAATGCCTCTGTTTCATTCCTTGTTTATGTTCCTCCTCTTGCATGCTCTACTATTGAGTCTCTGTTTTTGTTGCCTTGGTTCGGTCCACTCAAAAGATATGCACAAACCGTATAGATCTCTAATTCAGTATTTTATAATTTTTTTTAACAATTTATATACTAAGGGTAATACACTGTCCTTGTGCTGGCATCTAATGCAATTTATTTACTTTTTTTCTTTCTCATTTTCTAGATTATCCTTCTACACATACTAACAAATAATTGCAATTATGGACGAATACATTGATAGCAACGCATTCTTTTGTACGTGGCACATGCATTCTCTACTCTAGATTCATGTTCTGGGGTCAGATGTCTACTAATATATAAATAAACTATAACCAAAAGGCATTGTTCTTGTGTTAAGGTCAGCAAACTTGCCAGATTACTGAAGCTTTTGTTTTATATGTTCAGCTTAGCTCTTAGGGTTTGGATGTCACAAAAAAAAAATCGAAAGTCCGGTTTACATTTTTCTTGGCCTTTTTGCCCTGCACAAAAGCTTTTCTAAAGCTTCAAATTACTTCTCCATCACGGCACTGTACGTGTTATTTGCGATCCATCATCATCTCCCTACCAAAATAAGATTTGCCCATTTTTTCCTTATTTTATCATGAAAAACTCCATGCTTTGTGCTCTGCCTGATATTTTTAGCATAAAACTATACGTTAGGTTACATCAACGTCCCACCACACTGTTAATATCCTTACATTAACAATTAATTATTGTAATTATACATATAAACTATGCTTGGCTTATCTTTCTGCTGATCTGTTGCTTTATCACCAGCACATGGAAAATGCTTATCCAGGCTCCAATCTTCTCGTCGTGACGTTGACCAATGGGGAATCCAAGCGTGTGGAAGCTCAGTCCGATCGTGAGACTCTCAGAGAAGCAATGTCTGTTCTAAGAGACATGTTTGGTCCGAACATACCCAATGCCACAGAGATTCTCGTCCCAAGATGGTGGAACAACCGGTTCCAACGCGGCAGTTACAGCAATTACCCGATTATTTCCGATAACCAGCTCGCTAAAAACATTAAAGTACGTGCTTTTCTTTGTCTGTTCAAAGAAGGAACTCGTAAATTTCAAGAATACCTCACCTGGTTTAGCAGGAAGGTGCAAAGCGTTTTCACCATTCATACATCGAGTCTTCCCAAATTGGAAATTGTTCTGTAGAGTTGAGACTTGGGGTTTGCTTTTGAACGTTTTCTTGTATTGTTGCTTTTCTCCAGGCCCCGGTTGGCAGGATTTTCTTCACTGGTGAACATACGAGCGAGAAGTTCAGCGGATATGTTCATGGTGGATATCTCGCAGGCGAGTGGCGATCTTCCTTTTTGATCGAATGAATGATCAAATGGAAAGCATTAATTTGATTCAACCTTCTAAACGGTTGATGTCTTTCAGGTATCAGCACGAGTAAATCGTTGTTGGAAGAGATGGAGGAGAAAGAGAGACGGAACGAGAACTCCAGCTTCTTGTTAGAGCCATTGCTTGCCTTCACCGAGTCGCTATCTTTGACGACGCAGACCGACTCCAAAGTCTCGAACCTCCACAAATGCGACATCCCGAACCAGTTTTACCTCAGCCAAAAGCTCGGAATCCCCGAGGCAATCTTATGACTAGATGAACCTGAGCTCGACAACGTTTCTGACTATTATATCGGCCATGATGATCGTGACACCGGATACAAACTGAAAGGAAACATCGATTGGAAACAAAGGTCGGAATGGGTGAACAACTTTCCCGAAACCCGCTATTGAAGATGTAACGAAGCTTGCTGCAAAGAGAGAATGACGGGATCGGAAAGACCTATAAGTCGATGAAAAATTCTCGGGAAGCCTTCCGGAACTTAGCAGTGCTAATAACCAGCAGCTGCAAAGAAGGCTCTAAGGTTTGCTCTATTCTTTGGGTGAGAGAGAGATAGAAAAGAGTTGCATTGCATACCCAACTTCGAAATTTATTGCAATTCGTACGAAGCAGCTTAACAGGTATGATTTGTCGAATTATAATATAGGTACTTATACAGAAGGTTTGCCGTTTGCTATTCAACCATACTTGAACTAAAGTGCAATTGTAAGAAAGCGACGACTTGTTTCATGCATGAACATGAAGAACCTTTTCCAGTTATAGGTGTCTGTATTGTCTCCATATTTCGGTTTTCGGGGAACGTTTTATCCAATAGCCAGAGAAAGATGATATATTCTGTAAGATTACAAGGCTAAATCACTGCAACAATCCGACAACATAAAGGGAAGCAACTGATCATGACATCTATTTTTAAGCAAGCGAGGCCCACGGCTAGCTCGGTTCGATTATTTCGGTTATTAAATGAATTGAACCGAATAAAGGTATTCGGTTATTAATCGAACTGAACTGAATGATCAATTGATTATGATTTTTCAAAATCTGAACTAAACATATCTAAATCGAACCGATTAAAATTTACTAACCAATTCTCAAAACCCAAAATAATCGAATCCGAACCGAATCTTTATTTGGTTATAATTTAAAATAGATAAAATCAAACCGAAACGAATCGAATAAAATTAAATACTCGTTTCATTATGAATTTTGAAAAACCGAAATAAACGAGTTC